ATCTTTCCACCCCCTCCAACTTCTCTCCTTCCCCAAAAGTGCCTTGCCCTGACTGCCTTCATCTATGATCCACTGCCAGCCCCCAGGGTAGAAATAGCTCTCTTTCACCTCTTTGAGCACTAATCCTTTCCTTGTTCTCATGAGTTTTTCACTCATGATACTGTTAATTCTTTGAAGGTTTAAGAAAAAAATTTTGATTTCATCTAGCTTTTTCTAGTTGTTTTTGGCATCCTCAGAGAAAAAGCTGGTCAGAGAAATCCACATTTGGTTTCTCCTTTATAAAAGTGTTCTTCAAAGTATATTTTCAGATGAGTGCCAATCTACCATCTATTATTGGTCTGCAATAAAATGGGTACAGAAATTGAGAGTCAACATTTAGAAACAGTTACAGCAAATTGATATTGCTATACTATCTAGCACATGATTTTGTGCCTTAAATTCAAAATAATTCTGATGCCAAAGTGGCATATTTTGGGGTGGCATATTCTGATCTCCTTCAATGTACAACCAGTTAGTTGTACCTTATGTCTCTAGACCTGTGATCTATTTTGTTTGTTTGATGTGTTTGGTTTTGGGTAATTTTTTGATTATATGAATAATACTTATTATAAAATTTTAAAAATTCAGATAGGTGAAGAGAGACAGCTAAGCTCCTTCATAATCTCACTATGTTTCACAATTCAAACTAAACCTTCTATGGCTTCTCTCTTCAGGCAGTATAGAAGCTCCCCTCCCAGTACTTACTCTTCAGTAGAAGGATTTCTTCTCCTTTCCTTTCACTCCCTCACACTGCAGCCAACCAGGGAAGTTCACAACATGCTCTTTGAAAGTTCTTGAAACTTTCATCAGAAGTACCACAAGATGGGAAGCCAAAGAGAAAAGTAATAAAAAGAAGCTATTTATTATTGATTTTAGGATCATATCAAATAAAGTTTGTTAAAGAATTGAGCCATCAATTTTGTTCAGAAGATTCAAGGTTATATCAGGATTGTATTATTATATGAATATGTATATTTTGAATTTTTATGATGAATAAAATTTACATAAACAATAGTATTTTTTATTTTTGTATCATGAAATTTAAAAGTAGTGGATTATGCCTTTTAATATCAATTAATGTTATAAATAACTAATCAAATAGCTTTAATAATAGAAATATACTTTCACATTGATGACTTTCTCTCAGAATAAAACCCTTCCAAAGAACTTGCCTGTATATTTAAGAAGTTACACAGGTGATTTTGTCTAGTACCCTGATTAGAAAGCATTGAGTTAAAAAAATATACAGTAGCCAAAAGGTCCCATTTATATTGGCAACTAAAGCATAAAATGCCTAGGGGAAAAAACTTAATAATCAATAATCAATAATCAATCAATAATCAATCAATAATCAAAATAAACCAATATAAAAATAACCTTAAAACTATAACTTAGAGGCCAGGTGCAGTGGCTCATGCCTGTAATTCTAGCACTGTAAGAGGCCGAGACAGGAGGATCACTTGAGCTCAGGAGTTTGAGACCAGCCTGAGCAAGAGTGAGACCCCCAAGTCTACTAAAAATAGAAAAATTAGCCAGTTGTTGGGGTGGAGTGCCTGTAGTTCTAGCTACTCGGGTGTCTGAGGCAGGAGGAACCCTTGAACACAGGAGTTCAAGGTTGCAGTGAGCTAGGCTGATGCCACAGCACTCTGGCCTGAGTAACAGAGTGAGTCTCTGTCTTAAAAACAACAACAACAACAACAACAAAATATAGAAGTAACTGTAACTTAGAGACATGAAAGGAAATGGAGAGGCATGTCACGTTCATCAATGAGAATATTAGAAGGAGTTAATTTGTAGTAGTTAATGTCTAAATTTAATACCATCTGAGTCAATATATAAAGAGCTTTTAGAGTTTGACAAAATGATTTTAAAGTTCAATGGGGGGGGAATCATAAGAAAATGCTGGCAAAAAATAATGAGATGAGACTTATTTTGCCAAATATTAAAATATACTACTACAGTGTTTTATTATTTCAAAATGTTAAAGGGGTACCAATGTTTTTGTTACATGGATATCTTGTATAATGCTTAGAAGCAGGGCTTTTAGTGTACTACCTGTCACCAGGGCAGTGTTCATTGCACCTGATAAATAAGTTACTACAGTATTTTAAATGGAATAGTATTAGATGGAAGAATAGGCAGGTCATTGAAAGAGAGTAGAAACTTAAAAACACCACGTGTCTGTATGCACATGTGTCAAAATTGTCATCTCATAATTCATATATGACCAAGCAGATGGATTGATCCATGCCGATACTCGTAGCTCAGGACAGTAAATAATTTCTAGTTATTTTTCACTGGTTGGTTGCCTCCTTAGGCTTTATGTTTTGACTTCTCCCCAGTTTGCTGCCCCTACCCTTCCACCCTCTGCTCCTTTTCCCTGGTCCCTTCTAGGTTCCTTCAAAAAGACCTTTCGTTCTCAGGATAACTCCTAAATTCTTACTGCTTAATTATGTAATCAATTTAGCTCTCTCCTTTGCCTAACTCGTCTCTCATCTAAGTTGAATAGTGCTCACCCTCACATTTCACAAGTAAAAAGAAAAACACCTAAGCAAAACTAATTCCTTCACTATGAGATGTTTTTTAGTCCTCAGAGATCAACTAACCAGCTTAAACTGCAACCAGTTTTTTTTTTTTTTTTGAGACAGAGCCTCAACCTGTCCCCCTGGGTAGGGTGCCGTGGCATCACAGCTCACAGCAACCTCCAACTCCTGGGCTCAAGCAAGTCTACTGCCTCCGCCTCCCAAGTAGCTAGGACTACAGGCGCCCTCCACAATGCCCGGCTATTTTTTGGTTGCAGCCGTCATTGTTGTTTGGTGGGCCCGGGCTGGATTTGAACCCACCACCTTAGGTGTATGTGGCTGGCACCTTAGCCACTTGAGCCACAGGCGCCAAGCCACTGCAACCAGTTTTTAAAATAGCATTTTTTTCTCTCCGTAGTACAAAGAAATGAAAAATACTCATCCTTTCTGATAATCAAGGAAATGCAAATTAAGGCATCATGAATGACTCCCCCCCTATCTGTTTGGCAAAGATGAAAAAGTATAGTGATCTTAGTAAAGGAAAGGACACATTCACACTGGGTAGTGAGAGTATAAGTTTTTCTTGTTGTGTGTGTATATCAACATGCAGAAGCATGATGCCAATAAAAAGTATATATAAAAATATATACCACTTGACCTAGCAACTCTATTAAGAATTTTATCATAGTGATGATCAGAGTTGCTTACAAAAATGCATGATCACATTCATCCAGGCTTTATTTCTAATGGTGGAGAACAGGTGCTGCTATAGTTGGCAGTAGACTAGGCCATCATGAACATTATTTTGGAGAAGAATCCTACTTGACATAGGAAAATGTTCATTAGGTGTGAAATGGTAAAATTTGTAAAGCCTGTATAAATGTGAAAGTATTTTCATTTACATAAAACCACACCAGGATCCAAATAATACAACCAACTGCTCATTAAGTATCTGCTATATGTTTACTTTTCTACTGGGTATTTGATAGGGGTATGTTCAAAGTTTAAAGTATAATTGTTCAAGAAGACTTTACATTATTGTCAAACTGTTATAGGGCTCAAAAAGGTGCATTTGTTTCTTATGTACCCAGTTTGGTGTAGCTCAATGAGAAGAGCACTGGACATAGCTAGACAGATATTTGGATCCTATCCCTGTCACATGCTTGTCTGTGCAAATGTATTATTTGAGAACAAGAATGATGCTAACTCATGGAGCAATTCTAAGTCTGAAGGGAGATACATGTGTATAACATGGTGCCTGGTGAATAGGAAGTATGTTAATAATTCCTTTACTTCCTCTTCTAGCAGTTTCTATTTTCTCAGTATAATACTTGTATCAGGTATATTGGAAACTGAACTACTAAATAAATGAATAAATGAGATACTGGATTTGATTTTATAAACCTTAAAGCATTATGAGAATGTTAGTTATTAATACTTGAATAATTTGATTAATATATGTAATATTCTGGCAAAAGTTTCATGCATACATATATGTATATGTGTATATGGAGGTATGTTTATGTATATATAAGTGCTATGTGTTATCATATGGAGAATAGGGTTTTTATAGAATCAAAGAGAAGGGCATTAATGTGGCTGATAATGAGGCCCTTCCTAGGAAGGTGGGATTGGAGTAAAACCTTGAATGAAGCATAGATTTTGAATATGAACAGAACTATATGTAGAAGCATGATGCCAATAGAAATGTATGTATATTCGGGGAGTTATAATAAGACCTAAGATAGCAAGGTTTTCTTGAAATGTTATTAAATGGTATATAGGTAGAAGAGGCAAGGTGTGGTCACGGCAAGAGGCCTTATATATCTGGTGAGAAATAGAGAACCATTGTGTGTTTTAGGATAAGATAGTGACACTGTCACCAACACTTTGATGTGTTGCAATATATTTGTAGCATTTAGCTTTGGTAATAAAAGTATAAACAAAAAAATTATGGATTAACTCATTGGTTTTTCCTTGTATAATATATAGACTAAATTTTTCATTTAGTAGTAATAACTATAGCAAAATGTCTTTAAAATACTTATATTCTTAATAAAATATTACATTGCATGACTAGAGATAGATAATTTTGGAACTCAGCTCAAAAATATACCCACAACCCCCAACATCGCTCTTTTCTGAGACTTCATATTGTGATAACCTAAAGAAAATTTATAGTCAATTTTATATACCTCATGTTATTTGATATTACCATTTGCCTGTTCTTTCTGTTTCTTTCCCTGCAGATTTTTAAGGTTAAGATGGTTATAATGTCTTTTATAATTTGTGTCTATTTTTTTCATTGAAAGAAAGGAGATTTAAATAACTTACAGTCATTAGCAGTAAGCCAACTAATGATGTAATGTTTTCCCTTTCAGTGTTATTTCTCTGGAATTTCTTTATTTCTTATGTTCTTTTTCATATTTTTTTCTACAGTATGGATGGAGCAGATCTGTGTTTTGAAATCGTAAAACGAGCTGATGCTGGTTTTGTATACAGTGAAGCTGTAGCCAGGTATGTAATGTATTATACCTAATCCCCAGTGGTCAAGGTGGAAGTAAAAGAAGGAAATGACAAAGAAGTCACATGAAATAGTAGCCTGCTCTTTCAACTAAGCATACTGCTGCTCTTTGCTACAAGGAGCCTATCTATTTTAGTGTGCATTAGTGCAACTGAATAGTAATTGGAAATATGAAAGACGGAACGATAAGTTTATTAATGCAGGTTTATGTTTTCACATCCGTACTGCTGTCTTTCCCATTTCTGATGACTTTTATACAAGGTATTTGATAACCCAGGAACCATGTCTAATTAAACTTGGGTTTTTTATTTGATTTTTGGTTTTTGACAGATGTGCCTCATTAGTTCTTCATTTTGCCTTTTAGTGATATCAAATTGTTATGTGACCAGTTAATCTTAGGAAAATTAAAGAACAGAAACGATAGAAGGAATAGAAATAAAAGCACCATTTTCCTGCTGAATATATTTGCTTCAGGCTAGTGTGAGACCTACCAATCAAATGGCAACCCTTCTTCCAAGTGGAGAAGTTATTGTAAAGACCCAGTGACTCAAAATAAGGAGTAAATCTTCAAATCAAAGGAGCCATCCATATACTGGGTTACTTATATATTTAGAGCAATACAGCTTTCTGCTCTGGTGACATAAAGTCATATAATTTCCCACCCCAGTAAGGTACCTTTTTAACACATGCAATATCACATCCCTCATTAGTAATCAACCATATTATATTGAAGGGTTCAAACCCTCAAACTATTAGGATGTGTTAAAACTTTCTAGCGTTAGAGAAAAACTTACATTAAATGATTGTAATTTTTTCCTTTCTATCATTCCTTTTGTGAATATGACATCTTAGAAATACATAGCTAGCAACAACTTAAAAGCCACCTTAATACAGTTTTGAACTCAGAATGACTTGACTCTCTTCAGATTCCTCACCCTGATTCCTCCTGGCTGAGGAGCTAGGAACCTAGTCTCAGGAATGGAGCATCCATAGCTATAGCACAAAATAAAGAATACGCTCAAAGTAGAGTAGCTACTTTTTCATACAAATGAAGTTAGAGACAAGAAGCAAATGAGAGGTTATAATATGTTAACTATAGTTACTTCTTTAGGCTCCTAATGTATATATGCATGATAGAAATTAGGCTAAATAACCTCTTTTCTTTTGTGCGGTCATCCTTTCTAAAGCCCATTTTTCCCGTTGTTTTGAGTTTTTAATTACACTTTTAAATTTTTATTCTTTTGATAGCACAATTTTTTTTATTATTGTTTGAGATTCATTGAGTTGAGGGTACAAAGAATTAGGTTACACCAATTGCATTTGTTAGAGTCCCTCTTATAATTGTGTCCTGCCTCCAAGAGGTGTGCCATATACATTGACCCCCCTTCTCCCCTCCCCTCTTCCCACTTACTTATTCCCTTACCCCACCTTATATTAGCTAATCTATGCTTTCATATTAGAATTGAGTACATTGGATTCTTGCTTCTCCATTCTTGTGATGCTTTACTAAGAAGAAAGTGTTCTACCTCTGTCCAGGTTAATACAAAAGATGTAAAGTCTCCATCTTCTTGTAGTTGTATAGTATTCCATGGTATACATATACCACAGCTTGTTAATCCATTCCCGGTAAATTTTTATTCTTTCTTGAGCTTCAAAATTAAAAAACCATTCTTTAATACTAAAATAATAGATGCTGTCTTGACTTTCCTTACAGTGTAGTTGTAAAGCATTTCATCTGACTAAATGAAACTCTCATACTTTTGCATATCATCATTTACATGACATCAGATAATTAAGTTCATGAACTTAGAAAAAGTGCTACATATCTCACTGCTGAGTATCACTGCAGTCACCTTCAGAGTACTCCCCTTTCGAGGCTATGCAATGACACCAGCACCTAGTCTACTCTTTGAAGCAATTCTAGAACAATTTTTCTGGAATGGCCATCAGAACTGTCCTGTGAGGTCTGGCAATTAAGTTCACAAACTACTCCTAGGAAAAGTACTACATACCTCATTGCTGAATATCACTACAGTCACCAGATGGTCAAGGGTAGTACTTCGAAGGTGACTGTAGTAATAGTGTCCAGCCTCATGTGTATTTGTTAAAGAATTTGAGGCAACTTGCCTTTTGTACTTTTCCATATTACTGTTTTTCAAGAGCGATAGGAAATAAAGAAAACTGAAAATTCTCAATTTTGATTTTATAAAATAGTGAAATTCCGTGGAGGAATATGAGTTTTTCCTTTTTGAACCACACTAATGCTAGGCAACCTAGTATATATGCTGGCAGGGTTGAGGTGAAATTGGTATCACTTTTACTCTGGTCTCTAGTCATCTTTACTGCTTTTCCTAAACTTTGAGTTACTCTCTGCAGTGGGTTGGATGTCAAGATATGTTAAGAAGGCAGTATAGAGAGGTTATATCATATAGTGAAATGACTTGTCGTCTCTCCCATTCTTGAGATTTATAGAAAAGGTAGATATTTATATACATCAAAATGAAACCTGTTGATTTTTAAGTCTACCTATATTTTCTGCTTAAATAGTGATTTTATGAAAAGAACTTTCCAGAGTAGACCAGAAGAGAGTAGCATTGAGACCAGTAGGTGACATTGCAAAAAGAGAGATTTGGAGACAATTTATTAAAGACTCTTCCCTCTAACAGTGAAAAAGTATTAGAGGGTGTGGGTCACAAAGTATTATTATGTGTGTTCCTTGTTGCAAAAGATCAATATAATAAGGCACACATAGATTCTTCCATTGGTGTACAACATTTGACCAGATGATTTCTGCAGGAAGACTGTGAGACACCAAGTAATCAAATTGATCGTGTTGTTTTTTTTTTCCAACTGGCTGAGCTTCAAGAGGAGCAGCAAAGCACCTGAACAGTGTTCAGTCCTTATAACAACTGAATTAGTGACTACCTCTGTCCTTTCAGGGATAATGAGTCATAGAGCAAGCTAACACAGAATCAGATTATCAAATCAAACTCTTGCAAATCAGAGAGATCTTCTTAACTGGTACCACATTTTATTAAATAATTTCAAGGATACAGACAATCAAAAGACTCATCTGAGGCAGAGAGAGGTCTGGGACCTCAAGGGCAAGAGCCCCTGTCATTTCTTCCCAAATCAGAAATACATCTCTGGCTCTGAATACTACATAGTTGAAGTCTCTACCTGAGATTTGTGGGGTTCCACACACAGGGGGGAGCACTGCAATTATGAAACATCTCATTTCATACCCCAGAGAGTTGGATCATATATATGACATTCTCCAAGAAGCTATCTATGCCTCAAAGATCCTGGATTATCATAGTTAGTCTTTAGCTAGGGTCAATTCATTAAGGGCATTTCAGAAATAAAGTCTCATCTGTTAGCAAATAGCATTAGTCTTTCTACCCAGAGTTGACAAGGAGAGTAGAGAGTCATCTCTCTTTTTATCTTCCACCACCCCACTCCTTCCAGAGTAAATAGATTACTGGCCAGCTCTTTCTTTCAAGAGAGTTATCATCTTTTCTAAGCCTTAGAGAAATTGAAGAAAAACGTATGTATCAAGTTTTTCTAAAAGTGTAGACCACAATGTTGTTTCATGACATTAAGGTTTTATTAAAAATTTACTCAGGAACTCTCTTGAACATGTGGGCAGATTGGGGTACTCATTTTATTCTGCTTACAGACCATTCACATGCATAAGCCTCCCAGGATCATGACTGGGAGGGCGGAGAAAAATAGGTCAGATCTATTATAATCTGGAGAGAAAAAAAATTCTACTTTATCTACATGTACTGCAGAGATTCTGCTGTATACCTATGTTTGGGTCAAATAATTGAGTATCCTCATATGCAAATTAACAATGCTCATTCAATGAGTTTTGTTCTGTTTTGTTTTATGAGGTTTTGAGATAGGAAGTTTCCTTAGGCTAAAGATAATTTAAGTGACTGTCTCAGTGCTTTGTATCCTAAGTAGTCCATTATGTAGATTTGTCCACTTCACCAAGGTTAAACTTATATAAACTTACTTAACCATTGACAACTAGATAGGCAAATAGTCTGTTTGTAAATCTTTGGCTAAGATTAACGATAATAATATTGTAGCTGGGAATGATGGCTTATACCTGTAATCCTAGCACTCTTGAGAGGCTGAGGCAGGTAGATCCCTTGAGCTCAGGAGTTCAAGACCAGCCTGAGCAAGAGAAAGACCTTGTCTCTACTAAAAATAGAAAAATTAGCAAGACTTTGTGGCACAGGCCTGTAGTTATAGCTACTGGGGAGGCTAAGGCAGGAGGATTGCCTGAACCCAGGAGTCTGAGCTAGGCTGATCCCGTGGCACTCTAGCCTGGGCAACAGAGTGAGACTCTGTCATGAATGAATGAATAAATAAATAAATATTGTAATAATAATGATTTAAGCTTTAACCACTTTGTAGAGTGGTTTCAAGTTTATAAAGCACTTTCATATTTGTTGTCTCTTAGCCATTTCAAGGGGTTACAGATCCCCCAAAGCCTAATAGGCAACAACACCAAGTTAAGAATCCCTACTTTAAACAAAACTGGCCCTGACATAGAGTATATGACCACAACCCCTTATATATGCATTTGTAGAGTAAGAGAAATTGAGTACCGGAACTAACTTACATGAGCCTTGCTCTCTGGCTTAAGACCCAGTTGTGAGACGACAACGAATGACAAGTACAAGAACAAAACCTGAGTTTGTTTTTCTTTTCTTCCTGACCTTTCATTTTTAAAATGGAATTCTTTTAATCAATTGTACTAGTAACATGAAATAACGCATATGATAACTAGAGGTACATTTTTGTGAGCTTGGTTAGACAGTAGCATACCAATGGCTCATACTTGTAATCCCAGCATTTTGGGAGGCTGAAGCAGGAGGATCACTTCAAGCCAGGAGTTCAAGACCAACCTGGGCAATATAGTAAGACCCCTTTCTCTGCAGAAAAAAAAAAAAGTGATAGTGGTATACCAAAGAAGGAACTTGATGGAAATGTCTTTTAATTATAAAGCAGGAATAAAAAAAATTTTGGTCTTCAGTTAAGTACTATATAATGAATAATGTTGAGTCTGTTGCATTTCTGTCGTGACTATTGGGAAGGAGAAAAACGAGCAAGGAAGGGGATACTAGGAAGAAAAGAGAAGGACAGATAAGGAAGGAATAAAATGCAGAGGAAGAGAAGATGAAACAGACAATCAGAGAAAGAGAATTAGAGGAATTATAGAACTTTATTTATTTATTTATTTATTTATTTTGAGACAGAGCCTCAAGCTGTCCCCTGGGTAGAGTGCCGTGGCATCATAGCTAACAGTAACCTCCAACTCCTGGGCTCAAGTGAGTCTCCTGCCTCCGCCTCTCAAGT